GAGGGGTTGGGCTGTGGCCTGGGTGGGCTCCCTGCTTTTAGCTTTTGCCCCCCTGCTGTCACCCCTGCCCCCACGTGGTGGTGTTCCCAAAGGGAGCCGAGCACAGAGGCTGGCCTGTCCTGGCCTTGCTGTGGCCCCAGGACGTGCCCATGGGGCTGAGGGCAGCAGAGGACAGTGTGGGGGCCAGAAATCTCTTTCACAGAGGGGGCCTCTGTGTCCAGCGTCCACCTCCTGGCCTTGCCCTGGGCCCCTCTGCTCACAAATGCCCGAGAGGTCTCGGAGGGGCAGCCGGACAGAGAGGGCCCCGTCTCGGAAGTTTCAAAGACCACCCAGAGCATCCAAGCTGATAGTCTTATGACTTCCAGCTGCCGGTCAGCCCCTTCCCCGAGCGGCAGCCCCCGTGTGCGGGGTTTGGATGCACCAGAAGCCAGACTTTTCTTCCCAGGCACCTCCAGGTGGACTGAACGTGCCGGCCTTTTGGCTCCTGGGAGAGCGCCCGACCCCCACTCCCTCTCCGGTCTGCCCCCTTGTGCTGATGACCATTGCTGCAAAGCCGGGGACCTGACCAAGTATCCCCTCCCTCAGCACTCTGTCCTCCTTTGGGGTGAGGCCACCGCACCCCATGCTGAGCGCCGAGTTGGGCGGGCCCGAGCTGGCCCCCCAGCACCTGTCTGACGGGGTGTTTATTTAACTTTGCGATGTGGACCGTGAGGTGTGACTGAGCTGCCAGAGTAACCCAGCCAGGGAGCCCCTGGCTGCCTCCTCCCCGCGGGGTCCTGCAGGGAGGGCTCAGGGCACTACCAAAGAGTGCCGGACACCAAGGGCCTGGACATCACAGCCTGGGGCCGCTCAGCCGCCCACGGGCCCTGCCCCACCCTCAGCAAAACCTGGCAGTCCTGGCACGGGGCCTCCACACCCACGTCTACCTGCCTCAGAGGCTGATTTCACGTGGAAACCACCTAACCCCACTCCGTCTGGCAGCTGGAGCTGTGCTCGGGGAATTCCGGGGGTGCGGTTGGACTTCACAGGGTTCAGTGGGAGGTCGGGCCTCGCTCACCCAGTGCAGATGGAAGACCGGCAGTCGGCTCTGTCCCGGGTTCTGTGTCTGGGCGTTCGGTGCCCAGGGGCTGGCACCGCTCCTGGGCACCTTGGCAAAGCTGTGCGCTCATCAAGCTTGTGTGGCACAGAGAGCAGAGACCGCGTCGGCATCGCCTGTCCTGCCCTGAACCCTGGGAGACGGCAGTGGGTCTGGTCACTCACCCCCTTGAAGCCCAGCCTCGTCTGCTGCCTCCGAGTCCGTGCCTCCTCGGAGCACCCGGAGGACAGAGGAGACTGTCCTGCCAGGTCCCCAAGGCTGTCAGCTTCCTCCCATGGAGGGACAGGCAGGTTTGAACGCCAGCCTGCGGCCGGGTCTTTGTAGAGTCCAACCAGAGACACCGACCTGTGTCTAAGGAGAGCTTTGTACTGAGATGCAGTCTCCTGTCAAGAAGGCACACCGCCCCGGGTCCGAGGCTCGCCGGAGCCTGTCTGTTTGCACTGTGGGGGTTCTCTGGTTCATAATCACTGCTTTGTTCTTACTTTGTGGGTCCTCTCCCTTCACGGTGCGCAGGTAGGCAGGGCAATTTCGACCCCACCGTGGATCCTTTCGCAGAAGAGCCGGCACCTGCTGTGTTTCTCAGTGCTCGGCGGGCGACCAGGGTGAGGCGCGGCCAACACGTACCGCCTCCTCCCCAGGCCTCGGTCAAGACGAGGCCCTGACGGCAGAGAGGGCTGTGGACGGAGGCAGCGTGCTCTTGACACACAGCACCACTGGGGGGGCCCTTGTGGCTCTCTGACTGGAGCTCATAGCAGGAGGTGAACTGAGACCATCGCCGGCAAAAAACTAAACCAAACGTGGTGACTCACCTCCCAGTGTTCCGCAGGGTCCGGCACGCCGTCATTTTGCCCAAGAGAAGGAACAGCGCCCGCATTTCTAAGGTCTTTCTGTCTGGAGCGAAGAGGCCACAACGGAGCTCTCCCGAGAGCCGGCTCTGCCCGCCCGTTGCTGCCGTCAGGGCGCTGGGTGAACGGAGAGAGATGAATGGGAAATGTCGCGTGACGATGGACACGCCTTGTCAGCATTGACTCTGAGAACAGGGGGAGTGAGCCCACGCCGTGGCTCAGCCCTGTGGGTTTGTGCCCAGTGGGTCCCCTACGTGGCCTGATCCCTGCTGGGAGTCCAGTGGGAAGAAGTGGGTGTGTCGCCTCACTCTTGGCTGGAGGAAGCCACAGCTTGACCAGGAGGGGCTCCCTGCCCGGCACACACACACACACACACACACACACACACACACACACACACACCCCTCCCTCTCACAGTTCTGTTCTCCCTGGGCAGTGAGGTCGTTGTAAGGATCACAGATCGTAGATTCAAGGCGAGCCTGCCTTCAGGAAGGGAGGGTGGCTTGGAGACCAGCTCCTCTGTCGCTAGCCAGCAGTGATAAAAGGCGGGAGACAGCCCCGCGTGGGGCGTGCTGGAGAGGGACCGGCCCACGTCACAGAGGGAGTGCACGGAGCCTGCCCTCGAGGGAGTGGAGTTTGAGAACGTGTATCCGTTTCCCCGAAGCCACTCCTAACCCATGCACGGCGCATTCAAGGCCGGCGACCTGCAGTTGGGACTAGTGGAGGGGCCGTGGAAAGGGAGGAGGGACGTGGTGGAGGGGGAGGCGTCCCAACGTGTGTGCACATGAAACTCACCGACGTCCCGCGCTCACCGTTATCTCGTCCACACAAGGAAGGCCCCACGTTGGAAGCCCCCAAAGCAGCCAGACGCGTGACTGAGGGAGAGATCGCCACTGCCGTCCAGCCAATTAGCTGCCTGCCGGGAACGGTGCCCCTCTCCAGAGGCTGCCGTGGGCTCCCGTGTCTGTCTGCAGCGTATCCCTCCTCGTGTCCAGGAAAACCCCAAACCACACTCTGCCACCCAGTCGATGCCGACTCAGGACCCCCGCCTCCTGGGCTCCCGAGACTGTAACAGTTTAGGGGAGCAGAGAGCCCAGTCATTCTCCCAGGAGCTGCCGGTGGTTTTCAACTGCCAACCATGTGGATCCCAGCCCAGCAAGTCACCACGACGCCACCAGGGCTCCACGAGTCTCCCTCGAATGCCTTCCAGAAAAGGTCCCCACCTGTGCCCCGGAGCCCCTGAGGGCCCGTTTTGGGTTAGCTGTGGGGCTGCATCGAGGGACTGGGTGGTGTGGGGTGGCATCTTGGTCATCCACGCTGGATGCCTAACCGTCAGGGTCCCCCACTTTCTCTCACGACCCCCTGCCATGCAGGCAGCGCCCAGGGTCCTCACGGGGTGGGGACGACCTCACGGGGCTGCCCTGCTCCTCTGTCCCTCACACACGGGCTCTGTCCCCAGCCTGGCACTGCTGTGTGACCAAAGTGTGCCATGGGCGACACCTACCGATAAGCCCCTCTGCCTGGGGCCTGAGGGTGGTGAGCAGGGGTGCCACCCAGGGGGCTGCATCAGGCAGCAGAGAGGCCTGGCTCATGCCACCCCAAGTGACCCTTCCAGGGAGATGGGCCAGTGGGAGTCCCCAGATCTTTAGATGCTGCTCGGCGTGCCCCTGTTGGTCACTAAAGGCTCCGTGTCATTTCCGTCTGACTTCTCACGTTTCAGCACCTGGGACCACTGTAGGTGTGAGGGGTTCGGAACTGGAGGGCCCTATTTTAAAAAGTAACACTGTGCATATGCATCCTGTCCCGAGAGAATCCGCAACTGTGTCCTGTTTAACGCTCTGTGTGTGTGGCTCTCTCTCCTGCCTCATTCCTGTCCCCTGAGCACACAGACGTCCAGGCTGGCCCCGGCTAGAGGTGGGTAGGGCACAGGCCCGGACAGCAAGAAGGAGTGGCTCGCTCCGTGGCTCAGCACCCTGTCCTGCCCCCGCCAGCTGTGCGGCCTCAGTTAGCCTGTTTCTTGTCTGTGAAATGGCCACAGTGCCGTCCACCAGGAGAGTTTCGTGGGTCCCGGAAGAGTGAACGTGTTAATAGCGCCCCCCCCACACACCTGCCCGGTCCAGGGTGGCCCTGCGCCCTCTAACCGCCCCTCCCTGTGTCGCAGCGAGCATGACCTGGGGGAGGACATCTACGACTGCGTCCCACGGGAGGAGGAAGGGGACGACATCTACGAGGACATCATCAAGGTGGAGGTGCAGCAGCCCATGGTGAGCCCCCGCCCCGCCCCAGCAGGCGGGCCTGCCCCTACTCCCCCTTGCAGCCCCCCAAGCCTGAGCCACCCCTCGGTCTTTCCATGGGGCTCCTCTGCAGGCCCGGAGGTGACCGCTGGCATGGAGACTGGGTTTGCAGGGTTCTGAGTCCTGCCAGCCTGGGGTGCCCCTGTGTGTACCCCAAGTTTGCCTCCTCTCATTGGGGGGAGCCGGGAGGCTAAGGGGCTCCCTGGGCCAGCTGGCTGGCCCCTTAGATGTGGGGCAGGTATGCATTCCTACAGGCGCTGGCTGGGGTCTCTGGGATGCTCTGGCGTGGGCTCGCAGCAACCGGCCAAGGGCCCCTCGGAAGACAACAGAGAACCCCCCCAAGCCAGCTGCAGGCCCCTGGGCTACGGTGGACTCAGCCTCTGTGGCAACACCGGAGAGGCCCCACGAGGTGCTGGCCCGCACCCCACGCCCCCTCTGCCCTGCCGCCCCCTGACTCTGCATCCAGAAGCAGGTCTGGCTTGCCCCCTGAGCAGTTGGGGTATCTCGGAGCATCAGCAGGCCCCCGGCAGCCTGCGTGGCCTCCCTCCGATGACCCAGTAAGAGCTGCCCGCTTGGGCTCACCTGACAGAGACCACAAAGCCCGACCCTCGGCTGGAGGCAGTGTCAGGACCAGGTCTGCCTCACCTGCCCGCACCAGTCTCCTGTTCCCAGAACCAGATCACCAGGGCCTGAGGGGCCTGCAGCCCTCCCCCCCACCGGTGCCCAGCTCAGTGGGTTCACTGACGCGGCCCCCAGAGAATACGCCAGCCAGAGCCAGGGGACCTGGGGGGCACCCCTGAGCCTGGGCTCCCCTCATTCCCAGGCCCTCACTAGCCAAGGACTGAGGAAGCTATGAGGGGTCTTCAGATGACCCCTGCTTGGCCACACGCTTCCTGAGAGCCCCTTTGAGTCTTGAGCTGTGAGGGTGGGCACCTGCTTCCTGTCATGTGTGCCGTTGCCTGCACAGTCCGAGTGGGAAGCAGTGGGGTCCAGGGGGACAGGTGTGGTGTCCAGAGGCTGGCACAGTGGACGGTGGGCAGGGTGGGGGGCACTTGTCGCCTGGGGTCTGCACCGCTAACTGGTTCTGTCCTCTCTCCTCCATGCGCGCGCAGATCAGGTACATGCAGGTGAGTGCCGGGGAGAGCATAGGTGAGCTTCCTTGTCTCGGGGGGCCTCGCAGGGGCACTTGCCCCAGGGGTACACCCTCATCAATCTCCACCTGTCACACTCAGCCACAGAAGAATGGGGTTCCCCGGGCTCCCAGCAGCCCGAGGTCATCCTGTGATTTGACCTCCCTGCCCCTGTGCTGAGGCCGGATTGGGGGTACCCTGTGGCACCCCGTCTTACCTACTGCTTTGGGGAGCAGAGATCCTGGCACATGAATGAGACCCTTAGGGTGAGACTGGGGCCCAAGAGATCTGAGCAGCACAGACCCACAGGGGCCGAGGGACACCCCCACCCCACCCCAAGCCCGAATGTCTAGAATACCTAGGACTGCTCCCAGTGGGCTTCCATCTGTCCCTGGAAGTCCACTCAGCTGGCGGACAGACGGACAGATGGACGTCAACCCGGGGGGCACGGGCCAGCCTGCTGGCTGCACACAGTGGGTGCTTGTGCTGCACTGCCCCCTGCACTGCTGGACTCCAGGTCTCTGGTCAGGGGGACCCAGGCTGGAGCAACTTGGGGAAGGGGAGCGAGGACCCTGCGATTCTAGAACCTTCTGTGTCTCCCATGGTGTTGCTCCCTGGGCCTCAGTTTCCTTACCTGCCAGGCCGGCGGGTGGTTGTGGCCCCCAGTGGGCTGGGCTCCACCCCTTAGCCTGCAGCTCTGAGTGGCCAGCTTCCCTGTTCCTCTGCGAGGGTCCCCCGGGGTGGGCCGCAGGGGCCTGGCCCACTCACACCAGTGCTCTCTGCAGAGAATGGGCATGTCGGAGGAGGACAAGAGAAACTGTTGTCTACTGGAGATCCAGGAGACCGAGGCCCGCTACTACCGCACCCTGGAGGACATCGAGAAGGTTCGGCAGGGCAGGGACTTCCTGCCAGGCTGCCCACAGACAGCCCTCCCACTCCTATCTGCACCCCAACCCAGCTGCCCCCTCAGCCCTCGACCCTGCAGCCACCCAGACATGCCCACCCACTGGCAACTTGGCCAGGCTGGGACTGGAGCTCGTCTCCCCACTCCTGTCTACTGTCCCCCCATTCTGCTGCCCCCCCAGCCGGATGGCCATCTCCCCCAGCCTGATGGCCAGCTCCCCAGTCTGATGGCCTCCCCCTGCCTGATGGCCACTGCTGGGGTGCACTACCAAGCAGACCTTTCTGACCCAGAGCCCAATGTTCATGCACCCCTGTACTACTTGGAGCTGGGCAGTTGTGAGGTGTGAGGGGGGCAGCGGTGTCCTCGCCCCTGAGGGCCTCTAATCCTGGGCGACAGGCCCCCTGCTGGCTCTCACCTCCCTTCACACTGTGGCCTGGTCAAGCCCTGCAGACCTTGGGGTCTGTTGTCACTGCTCAGGTGTCCTGGGGATGTCCCCGCTGCCGGCCCCATCGCAGACCCACAGGGGCCAAGGGCCCCCACCACGCCATGCAGCCAAGACCGGGGCCCACAGAGCTGTGCTGGTGGCCAGGAGTAGCCCCTGCCCCACGTGCCTGCCCCGCCTTGCCACCTCGGGGTTGGAGGGCGGCACCCCAGAGCACGTGCCCCGTCAGTGCTGAGCTCGGACAGTGAGGCAGAGCTGGTGAGGAGCTGCCCCGGCCCGAGGTCACGTTTGCCACCTTCTCTGGCAGAACTACATGAGCCCTCTGGGGCTGGTGCTGAGCCCTGGGGACATGGCCGCCATCTTCATCAACCTCGGGGTGAGTCCCTGCCGGGGTGCGAGCTGGGTGTGTGGGTACCCTCCGGGGGGATCTGGAGGCTGTGGGTGCATGCCTGCCGGGAGCTGGGGCTCTTCTGCTCCCGCAGGCCGAGATGGCGGGGAGTGAGGACTCAGACTCCTGCCCTCAGTC